TTGGAAATGTAATGAGACTGAAGGCACATTCTTTCACCTTTGATGGACATGCCCAAGGATTAAGACATTCTGGGAGATGATTTATAATGAAATGAAAAAGGTATCTAAATATACCTTCCTGAAGAAACCAGAGGCCTTTCTCCTGGGCATGGTCGGCCAATTGGTGTTAAAGAAGGATAGAACTTTTTTTATGTATGCAACAACAGCAGCAAGAATACTCATCACGAAGTATTGGAAGACACAAGATTTGCCCACCCGGGAAGAATGGCAGATGAAGTTGATGGACTACATGGAACTGGCGGAAATGACTGGCAGAATCTGAGACCAGGGAGAAGAGTCGGTGGAAGAAGATTGGAAAAAGTTTAAAGACTATCTACAGAAATATTGTAAAATTAATGAATGCTAGAAAAATGTTGGAATGAAGTTATATGGCTTTAGTAGAAATATTATAAGGAATTAAGTACAGATAGGTTAATAGAGCATTAAAGGAAAAATAAGGTTAGAATGAGTTAAGATAATTATAGGATAGAAAACAGAGGAAGATGGAAAGGAATTGCTGAAATAATTAACAGAAGTGGAATACAAAAAGGGAGGTGTGAGGAGGTCGTAGAAATAAGTGAATGAAAGATGGGGTAATGAAATTGTTTGATTTATCTTATTGTCTTTGTCTTGTTTTGCTAATTTGATGTGTTGTATTGTATTGTTTTTTTCTTTATAGTGTTTAAGTTTTTGGAAAAATAATAAATATTATTTAAAAAAAGAGAGAGAGAGAACAGGATGCTGGACTACATGGGCCATGAGCCTGATCCAGCAGACTCCTCTTACATTGTAAACACTTAGGTCTTTGGGCTTCCTTTAGAGGAGAAGGAGCATATCGATATCTATAATATCTGAAAACAGGCAATCAGGAGAAGAGAAGGTTTGCTTTGAGCTGAAGACCGAAGGCATCCAGGAATGTTTCTGGAAGTAGCTTGCCAAGTGAGGTGGGTTCACTGTGCCAGCTTCCCAGCAGGTAGGTTGCTGTTGCTTTCCAGGAGGAAGGATGCATGGGGGGGGTGTAAAGGAACCAACAGGAGCACCAGTTTGGCTCTACCACTGCATTTGCAGATGCTTTTTGTTGTTTAGTCGTTTAGTCGTGTCTGACTCTTCGTGACCCCATGGACCAGAGCGCACCAGGCACTCCTGTCTTCCACTGCCTCCCACAGTTTGGTCAAACTCATGTTCCTAGCTTCGAGAACACTATCCAACCATCTCGTCCTCTGTCGTCCCCTTCTCCTTGTGCCCTCCGTCTTTCCCAACATCAGGGTCTTTTCCAGGGAGTCTTCTCACGAGGTGGCCAAAGTATTGGAGCCTCAGCTTCAGGACCTGTCCTTCCAGTGAGCACTCAGGGCTGATTTCCTTAAGAATGGAGAGGTTTGATCTTCTTGCAGTCCATGGGACTCTCAAGAGTCTCCTCCAGCAGATGCTTTACAGCAGTCCTTTAAAGGGTGATTAGACAAATTCATGGAGAATAAGGCTGTCAGCAGCTGCTACTTTATATCCTACCTCCATGATCGGACGCAGCCTGTCTCTGAAAACCACTGGCTGGGAAGCAGCAGCAAGAGAGGTCTATTGTACTAACATCTGGCTGCCCAAGATGTCAGACTTGAAAAGCCATTGGCCTGATTCAACAGGGCTGGCTCAATTCCAGCTTGTGTGCATTTATCAAGACGCACCCTCTGAAAATATCCCCTCTACTGGGGCTCCCATTTTTGAATACCAGCTTTAGCTCATCGGGAAGGCCAGAGACCCACGGCTCTCATGACAGCCTTTGACTTAGATGGCTGCCGACAGCCTCTCTGCAGGCTGCTGTCATCACACATTCCATTCCTCTTCCCTCCTTGGATAGACTCTGCAGAAAGCATCCCGCAGGAGGATGAAACCTTGGCCTGAAACATAGAAGCCCGTTCGTTCCGGACCACCTCCTGGATGGCTGCCTGCTGATTGGCTGCTGTGTTGGCCTTAGAATGGAAGCGGGATGGAGACGGGAAATGAACCATGCAAGGAATAAAATGATGGAAGGGTACCTGAAGAATGAATGCTTAATTTTGCAAAATGGCATGGTTGCCTCTGCCACTCCTCTTAGTCAGAAGGGAAGTCATGTTTCTCCACTGCAGCAAAAGCCCTGACCTGAGAGCAGAGCTGCCACTGGGCGTGAGGGGCCTGGCTCCAATGAAGGAGCCTGTGGGAGTGTGTGCCTGGTCACTGTTGTTGTTGTTTAGTCGTTTATTCGTGTCCGACTCTTCGTGACCCCATGGACCAGAGCACACCAGGCACTCCTGTCATCCACTGCCTCCCACAGTTTGGTCAAACTCATGCTGGTAGCTTTGAGAACACTGTCCAACCATCTCATCCTCTGTCGTCCCTTCTCCTTGTGCCCTCCATCTTTCCCAACATCAGGGTCTTTTCCAGGGAGTCTTCTCTTCTCATGAGGTAGCCAAAGTACTGGAGCCCCAGCTTCACAATCTGTCCGTCCAGTGAGCACTCAGGGCTGATTTGATGTTCTCAAGAGTCTCCTCCAACACCATAATTTAAAAGCATCAATTCTTCGGCGATCAGCCTTCTTTATGGTCCAGCTCTCACTTCCATACATCACTACTGGGAAAACCATAGCTTTAACTATACAGACCTTTGTTGGCAAGGTGATGTCTCTGCCCCTCTCAAAAATGTGCCCGGGCCGTTGCATGCCTGCTGGCATGTGTGTGTGACATCAGCACACCACAGGGGGTGCCGACATCAGGTGTGCTGATGTCAGACACCCTTGTACCCATAGTGTGCATGGCCCTGGGCACTCACAGTCCCGGGCCCAAGCCAGCAGGCCTGGTAACCAAAAATGGATGTAGCCCTAAACCAGATCCAGCCAAGGTTTCATTTAAACAGAACATCTTCAGCTGGTGCCCAAAAAAAGACATGAGCGAAGAATGCAAGAGCATAAGGCAGGGATGGGGAACCTTTGGCCCTCCAGATGTTTCTGAACTACAACTTCCATCATCCCTGACCGCTGGTAATGTTTGTTGGGGCAGATGGGATTTGTAGTCCGAAACATCTGAAGGGTCCCACATTGGTTCCCTGGCATTAGTGTAAAGGATTTGCTTGGAAGCTCATGGGAGTGGCAATGTTTTTAAAAACTGGAGTGGCAGGGAGGCACTGCTTTGGGCAGCAAAATGTCTTCTGCTAACACCAAACCTTTTGGGATGGAAGAATCATGTGCAGTAACTCTCTTTGCCTATTGCAATTCAGAAAACAAAATGTGCTTCAAGGGAAACCTCCATTTACATTTCTTACTATGGGGAAGGAGTCTCAGGAGCAGAGAGGGAGAGTTGCAGTAGAAAAGTGATGGGAGGGGAACGGGTTAAGCACACTCACCCCTGCTGTTTCTCTGCTGTAAATCCACACACACCCTGGCTCCTTTTTCTCTTAAAAAGAGGCAGAGAGAAAGAGAGCAGCCATCTGGGATTTTAAAATGTTTGCATCTAATGTGCCAAGCCTATCAGAGGTTCAGGGGATGCTGAGCTAAGCAGATCAGCCCTGGCCTTGCGAGAACATCCTGTGCCCCACCTGTGTCCTCTGTTCCAGGGTCACTGAAGTGTTCAGCTCCTCTGTGAAGCCAGGCCTGCTCTCCGGCCTCCTGTGTATTCGTGCTGCCATGCCACCAGTCTCCTGCGTTGAGGTGCTGCTATGCTTACTGGTCTCCTGAGGGCTACGGCTTCCCTGCTGGGCAAATGAAGGCTTGTTTTCTTCCCTCTTCTGTAACAGAGTCTACCCTGGATAACCCCTAATGCGCCTAAATAAATAAGCAAAGGGGGTTGTGCCGGTTGCTCGCTTCAGCACTTTGCTGCAATCCAGTGCTCAGAATATGCGCTGACTTCCTGGATGTGTGTTCGGAACAGAGGGGGCCAAGGAGGCTGGACTTGCGGGTGGGGAATCCCGCTTGAGTTAGCAGGAGGGTGGTTGGAAGCAGGTGAATATTGGGATGTTTAAGGCTACCATCAGCCTCAGCAACTGTGCTCTCTCTTTTATTATTTATTTATTTATTAAATTTTATTAGTATTTTCCACATAACAGCAACAACATGAAAAATAACAATACACAATACACAAAAACCAACATACACAAAAAAACACAAATCCATATCTTAAAGGGAAAGGGACCCCTGACCATTAGGTCTAGTCATGGTCGACTCGGGGGTTGGGGCGCTCATCTCGCTTTATTGGCCAAGGGAACCGGCGTGCAGCTTCCGGGTCATGTGGCCAGCATGACTAAGCCCCTTCTGGCAAACCAGAGCAGCGCACGGAAACGCCGTTTACCTTCCCACCGGAGTGGTACCTATTTATCTACTTGCACTTTGACGTGCTTTCGAACTGCTAGGTAGGCAGGAGCAGGGACCGAGCAACGGGAGCTCACCCCGTCGAGGGGATTCGAACCGCCGACCTTCTGATCAGCAAGTCCTAGGCTCTGTGGTTTAACCCACAGCGCCACCCGCGTCCCCAGTCCAGATCTTACAAGTTAATAATACAAACACTATAAAGAAAAACAAACATTGACTTCATTCCGGACCATCCGGACCGTTCCAGGTAAGAAAGAGGGATTTATATCTGGATGTTAGGATAGAGTCGATAAGGAAAACAGGAAGACACAATGAGAGGTAAAGGAGGTGTTGTGGGATTGGTGGAAGTCAATGCAACTGTGCTTTCTCAGCACATCTGAATGGCACTTTCTTGCAAGCTTCCCAAATAGGTACGTGGTTGGCCACTGTGAGAACAGGATGTTAGACTACACGGACCATTGGACTGACTCAGGAAGCTGATCTTATGTTCTTATGTTCTTAACCCACTCTGGAAGCCAAGAGGTACAATAGATAGAAATATCACCCAGCATCATTGGGAAGATAGGGCCCATCTAGTTCAGTATTGTCCACACTGACTGGCAGCAGCTCTCCAGGGCTCTCTCCAAGCCCTACCTGGAGACGCCGGGGATTGAACCTGGGACGTTCTGCATGAGAGGCAGATGCTCTTCCACTGAGCTACAGCCCTAGATGATTTGGAGGTCTGGATGCTTCAACCCCTGGTGCTTGGGCAACAGCCATGCATGGAGGACTTGCAGTAGGGCTCGGTTTAGCTCCTTCCCTTCTTTCAGCACCGCCAGCATCTCTGCTGCACAAACGGCAAATCAGGTCATCAGGGAGGTCAAGGCTAGAGGTCTGTGTGCACGTCCCTCATACCCATCTGGCTTCCCCGCTCTGCATGAGGTAGTTTAACTCAGGCTTGGAGATCGACTCAAGTGTATGCAGGAGAGAGGGAGGGCTGTGTTGAGGATAAGGGAGGCACACAGAGACATTGGACAAGCCACTGTAAGAATAAGGAGGCCACCAGCTTAATCCAGCAAAGCTCGGCTTATGTTCCTCTGCTCACTAGCATAATTGCACGTCTTATTTAATAATAATACAGTGGTGCCTCTGGTTACGAACAGGATACATTACGGAGGCCCGTTCGCAACATGAAAAGAATGCAACCTGCGGCGGCGCATCTGTGCATGCGCGGGTTGTGATTTGCCACTTCTGCGCATGCGTGTGACGTCATTTTGCACTTCTGTGCATGGGCGAGCGGCGAAACCCAGAAGTAACCCTTTCCGGTACTTCCGGGTCACCGTGGGACGTAACCTGAAAGAACGTAACATGAAGTGAATGTAACATGAGGTATGACTGTAATAATAATTGTTGTTGTTGTTGTACACCAGCCATTGAATGTTACAAAACATCCCTATACAGGGCTGCCTTCAGATGTCTTCTAAAGGTTGTATAGTTACTTATCTCCACGTCTCGGGGGTCAAATGACTCCATTCCCTCCAACATTTCTCCAGTGAAAATAGGGACGTCCTAAGGAAGAGCAGAGGGACGCGGGTGGCGCTGTGGGTTAAACCACAGAGCCTAGGACTTGCTGATCAGAAGGTCGGCGGTTCGAATCCCTGTGATGGGGTAAGCTCCTGTTGCTCGGTCCCTGCTCCTGCCAACCAAGCAGTTGGAAGCACGTCAAAGTGCAAGTAGATAAATAGGTACCGCTCTGGTGGGAAGGTAAACGGCGTTTCTGTGTGCTGCTCTGGTTCGCCAGAAGTGGCTTAGTCATGCTGGCCACATGACCCGGAAGGTGTACGCCAGCTCCCTCAGCCAATAAAGTGAGATGAGCGCTGCAACCCCAGAGTCGGCCACGACTGGACCTAATGGTCAGGGGTCCCTTTACCTTTAAGGAAGAGCAGGACATTCTGGGATCAAACCAGAAACCGGGGCGGCTTCTGTAAATCCAGGACTGTCCCTGGAAAATAGGGACACTTGGAGAATCTGCCCTCAGTGCCTTGCGGTGAGCAATTGTGGACAACCACACTGCCAGCTGCCCAGGACACATCAGAGCACCAGTAAAGGACGTCCCGGCAGCTGTAGCTTCAGCAGCAGCAGCTGTGAGTCCTTGGCAACTGTTTGTGGATGCAGCTTGCGTCCATAGAGAAAGGTCCTAGGCCAACTTTTCGCTTGCTGTGTTGTTGCTTTCAATTTACAGGGCATTCTGGGCAGATATTATTATTATTATTATTATTATTATTATTATACTTTATTAGAAGTATTTCTGGGGAAATAATTATCTGCAATTAAAAGAAAAACTCCCTTTGATCACCCTAACCCCACTCTTCTCAGATTCTGGGCTGTCCCTCGATCAACTTGGTTTCATTTCCGGGGCGGAGAGAACGGGGAGGGCAAAATGGCCATGTGTTTAACTGAGGTAAAACAGGAGGTTTGCAACTCCCTGCTCCACCGCGACAGCCCTCGTTAATTGCACCATCCAGCTCACTAAACATGAAAGACGATCCCAAATCACCGCAAATCATTGTGCCTAATGGTAGGGACGGCATCGGCCTGGTACACAACGTTGATCCCGGTGAGCTTTCTGCTCCAGTCTATGGACTGACACAATGAACGCTGTTCTGATCCAGGTTTTGGTGAGTTGCTTAGCTGGCACTGCTTTGTGTTACGACTTGTACATTAACACACACACAGACACAGAGAGAGGCATGTTTCAAGTAGACACAGGTTTCCGGAGAGACTATCTTTCTACTTCCCCTTGAAATGTCAGCCTTAAAGCAGGATGTGCCTTGGAATTCCACCCAGGCGGGTGCTCTCGCGACACCTCTGCCAATCTGCCCGGGCATTTATATAGTGGCTAACCTGATCCTCTTCCCAGAGCATGCTTATAACTGTCCTAGGGGCGGACGAGGCCTTATCTAATAATCCTCGCATTCCCCCACCATCAATCTAAACTATAAATGGTCAGCAAGGAGTTATTTTAGGGCCAAAAGTTGGGTGGCAGGTTTAAAGGCTTGCCTCCCGACGGGCTCTTTATCTCCTCCCTTAAGTCCCCTTGTCTCTATCCTGCACCCAAAGCGACCAGCCGTGACATATTTGGTGTGGCTGCTGTGGCTTCTCCCTTGCGCTCAGCTGCACGGAGAGCCGTCAAGTGTGCATTGGACACGACAAAGTAGAGACACGAGGGAACAGGTGCCGGCTCCCATCTGCGATGCTCCAGATCCCTGGAGGGTCACAAAAGATGAAGCATGGCCCCAGAGGGATAAAAAGGCTAGGAGCCAGGGGCCTGCCGAGATCCTGGCATCCGGTGTAATTCTACCACCTTGACAGAACAGAAGGGAAGGCTGGCTGAAGCACTTTGGCCACAGCAAAGTCCCGGCAGAGGCACCAGATCAGTGCAGGAACTGGGAATGAGATTCCCTCCCCCTTTTAAAACAAGCAAGCAAACATTTTATTTAGTTAACAAAAATATATGCCACTTGATTGTGAACAGGCCATCTAAGCAGCTTGCAGAAACAAAACATAAAATTATCAGTGAGAAAGGGTTAAAAAGAGCTCCTCAGAAAGTTTATAAAGTAAAGCAATGAGCTATAAAACAGCAACAGATTACTTTTTTATTTATACTTTTCAAATTTATACATTTCATTAGTTTTACAATCCATGCAAATGGTTCATTTAATATTACAGATAACTTGTAAACAGATAAAAACATTAGCAGGATTGTTGTTAATAACCTGCAGTTGTAGAAGAGTATATATTTACAGTAGATAATTAAATGAGCAAGTTAAATGATTTTGGATATGCAGAAGATATTAAAAAATAAATTTAAGGAGCCGCAGAAAGAGGGGGAAAGGAAGTCAAATTTTGAAATGTTAAATGGATTGTAAAAAACAAAACAAAAAACAGGTGAGAACACATTTAGACTTCTGCATTTCTGGATAGTTTTGCCTGATCAAAAATGCTTCTTTGCAGAATTATAGTGACTGCATCTGCCTGGGGGTGTCAATAAGCAGGGAGTTCTGAAGCTTCGATGCTGACATGCTACAAGATCGATTTCTTACAAGTGCAGAACAAATATAATAACTGCTAATTCTGCAGATCGAAGTTGTCTAGTGAGCACATATAGAGTAAGGCAGTTTCTCAACTAAACTGAGGGCTTTATGTATTAACGGTACCATCACCTAGAATTTGTTATTGTAACAAATAGACAACCAGTGGATTGCCATCTATTAGCGATATCCTGCACACCCACTCTCCCTATTTATCAAGGAAACTCCCTATTTTGCAGGGAGGCTTCCCTATAGAGCTGCATCTAGCACCTTTGTTCCCTGGGCTTTGGCAATTATGGTATTCTGCTTTGTGGAACCCACCACTTTAGCTGAATTTACGCTGTTCTGTTCTCACCAGAGCTGTTTTGTTTGTTTTTCTATATTTTACTCTTCGATCCCTTTCTGCAATTGTGTTGTAACTGGGGATGGGGCAGAAATCTGATTTTGCTTGCATTGCAATGAGAAACGACCTAATTCACAGTTCTCAAACCCATACGTGAACCGAAACCCAGCAATCCTTTGAAAGTCACACTTATCTGAATTTTGCAGTTCTTCGACAAACCAGTGTGTAGAAAATTTCATATGTTAGGGCAGAGCTTTCCAAACACGTGTGTCGGCTGCAGTGTGTAGGTGTGTCACATGAATGCATGTCTAAAAAGTGTGTCACCAATGTGAAAAATTTGGAAAGCTCTGTGTTAGGGTGAAATTGTGCATGGAACTCATCTATTCGTGAAAATAACGTGCAAAAATACTGGTAAATTTTCATGAGAAAATTGTATTGTGAATATGTGCATATTGCTCAAAACTTCATCCAAAAATGTGTTTATTGGGAGAAAGCCACATTTAAATGCTCATGAGGATTTTGAGGGTGGAATCCACAGATTGCTGCACAAATGTGCAGAATAGATTCTTAAGATTGGAAAAATGAGAAACATGGTGGAGGACATGGAGAGATCTGCCCATTCCTAGTTGTGACATGCCCTGGGACCTTTGGTGAAGGGCAGGTAAGAAATCTTATAAATGAACAAGTAAAATAACAAATAAATCACATGCCCTATTTTCCCCTCCCTCTTTGGAGATTCCTTTTGGTTTAGTGGTCACAGCAAAGTAAGAACTTCAATTGAATCTCCCACAAGTGGCTGGAACCACGCCTGATGCTGAAACAAATAAAAAGGTACATTAGATTAGATGATAGATAGATAGATGATAGATAGATAGATAGATAGATAGATAGATAGATAGATAGATAGATGATAGATAGATAGAGTCATACCTCATGTTGCTTCAGGTTACGAGATTTCGGGTTGCGGACCAGAGGATACCCGGAAGTACTGGAACGCGTTACTTCCGGGTTTTGCTGCTCGCGCATGTGCAGAAGCCCTAAATCACACTTCACACACGTGCAGAATAATAATAATATAGTAATAATTTATTATTTATACCCCGCCCATCTGGCTGAGTTTCCCCAGCCACTCTGGGCGGCTTCCAATCGAGTGTTAAAAACAATATAGCATTAAATATTAAAAACTTCCCTAAACAGGGCTGCCTTCAGATGTCTTTTAAAGACAAGATAGCTACTTATTTCTTTCACATATGAAGGGAGGGCATTCCACAGGGCTGGTGCCGCTATCGAGAGGGCCCTCTGCCTGGTACCCTGTAACCTCACTTCTCACAATGAGGGAACCACCAGAAGGCCCTCGGCGCTGGACCTCAGTGTCCGGGCTGAACGATGGGGTGGAGAAGCATCAAATTGTGCCGGCGCCTGCGCAGACGCGGCACTTCAGCTTGTGAACGCTGCAGGTTGCAGACGTGCCTCCATCACGGATTACGTCCACAACCCAAGGTTCCACTGTAGATAGATGATATATAGATAGATAGATAGATAGATAGATAGATAGATAGATATAAAAAACCCAAAATTAGCACCAGGAAATGGCATTCACTGGTTAGAATCATAGAACTGGAATAAGTCAGCGCTCTCCAGCAACGGCAACATGGCTTCGCTCAGTGAAAGCAGCGATCCGCTCGCAGCACCGCGCTTCTTCCCCGCTCCGTTCCGAAGCCTCAAAAAAAGGCTTCCTCTCGGGTTGGGGGGGCGCTCCAAGGTGCCCGCCGAGCCTCCACGTTCGCAGGCTTCCGCGCCTGCGATTTCTAAGGGTCCCCGCTTCGCCGCAGCGCACAGGACCCAATTTTCCGCTGAGCTACCCCCTCCGAGATCAGAGGAGGTCAGCCATTGCTGCTGGCGCTAACCGGAAGTCCCAGAATCATAGAGCTGTAGCATTAGAAGGTACCATGCAGGTCATCTAGACTCCCTGCAATGCAGGAATCTCTTTGCTCGACGTGGGGCTGAAACCCACAACCTTGAGATTAAGAATCTCATGCTCTACCAGCTGAGCTATAAATTGTGGTGCCACAGCCCAAAATACCCTCCCTCCAGTTGCAAACTGTTTCACCTGCGGAGGGGTGGGTGCCACATGTATGTCCTTCTGGACTCCATTTCCAAAACTTCCAAAAGAGAGAGAAGGAAATCTCAAGAGGAGGGAATACCTGCAACAGGTTGCAACTCAACCCACAGTATCACCCCATGTAGCCAGTTAACTTTCCCTAACATGAGAACATCAGAGCCTGCTGCATCAGACCAGTGGTCCACCTTGTCCATCACCCTCTTCTCACAGTGGCCAACCAGATAAAGGTAAGGTAAAGGGACTCCTGACCATTAGGTCCAGTCGTGGCCGACTCTGGAGTTGCGGCGCTCATCTCGCTTTATTGGCCGAGGGAGCCAGAGTACAGCTTCCGGGTCATGTGGCCAGCATGACTAAGCCGCTTCTGGCGAACCAGAGCAGCGCACGGAAACGCCGTTTACCTTCCCGCCTGAGTGGTACCTATTTATCTACTTGCACTTTGACGTGCTTTCGAACTGCTAGGGTGGCAGGAGCTGGGACCGAGCAACGGGAGCTCACCCCGTCACAGGGATTCGAACCGCCGACCTTCTAATCGGCAAGCCCTAGGCTCTGTGGTTTAACCCACAGCGCCAACCAGATGTTGCCCCCCAAAGCCCAATGGTGACTGACTCGGGGGCCATGAAAAGCTGACTGCGATTAAAGACAACAAACTGGAAATCTGGGTGCGATGGAGAATGGAATGGCTTGTCCTGGGGGTGTGCACTGGCCTGAAATACCCCACACTGTGCAGGTCTCTCTTATATATTTAACACAGCTCTTCCATGGTGCCCTTAAAGCAGTGGTCCCCAACCGTTTTTTGGCCATGCCCCACCTAAGCATCTCTAAAATCCTGAAGCCCGCCCCCCCCATGACAGATAATTCTTATTATTCAAAAAGTGAACTATTCACGTGGAGGAAGCCTAAAAGGCTATTCACTGTTGTGGCGATCACACAGGGTCCCCGGACGTTTCACCGTCTATTGATCCCTGTGCCACCACTTTATTTCTCACTGCCACCACCCAGGCGCTACCTGGTACAATACTGAGTCCAGTCAGGGTTAAATTGGAACATAAACTTCTGTTTATTTATTGCAGTTTAACAAGCGTGTGGTTTCATAAACGGTCTCGGTCAATTACAGTCATGGGGTGCCTATCCAGACCTATAACTTCCGCTATCTGCTCTCACTCACTAAACCACCTCTCAGATATTTACTTGTCTTCCTAGTTCCTAACTGTTCTTGACTCAGCTTATTTCGCGACACTAACTCAATCTACCCACAGACTCTATCCCAATTCACTCCCACTCCAACCAACCACCCAACTCCCAACAAACTCCTCCCTTCGCCCCTCCCAGAGCTGGTTTTATAGTCCCTCTGACTCCACCCCCCTGGGTTCTGATTGGGTACCTATTTAACTATTTCACCTCCAGCACTCTCATGTGTTAACGTCACAACTGTTAATAACTCATTCTTGTATTGCCCCCCTTAAAAATCAAATCGGCCCCCTGTGGGGCATGTACCCCACATTGGGAACCACAACCTTAAAGTCTGCAGGTGGCCTTTTCTTGGGGCACTGACCCCTCTCAGACCTGCTTAGCTTCTGCAGTAGGATAGCTCAGTTGGCAGAGCACGAGACTCTTCAATCTCAGGTTCGTGGGTTTCAGCCCCATGTTGGGTGGAAGATTCCCGCATTGGAGGGGGCTGGACTAGATAGTCCTCGTGGTCCCTTCCAGCACTGCAATTCTATTATTCTGCAAGGTTTGCTGCAACGCTTGCTTTCCAACCACACCCTGGGCTCTGGCAAGGCAGCCGGCTATAGCTCATCAAGATGATCTATTCCCTTTGCCCCAGCCCCCTGCCCAGACCTCTTACGCTGGGATTATGACATGCTTGTAATTTACTATAGTGGGAGACCTCCAAAGCGGCAATGACATGGAAAGAATCCCAGAGTTTCCATCTGTTGGATTCCCAAATGACAGTAACCCGACTCCTGATGGCAGGGACGCGGTCTGTGTTATTATTGGGCCAGCGGATTGAGCTGCCTCGGCTCCGGGTTATGCATTATTAAGTGAGCTCACCAGGAGAGGGGAGAGCTGGAAAGCAGAGCCCCTCGCATGGGGGGAGGACAGGAGAGGGAGGAATGTCTGTCACGCTCATCTTTGTGGGGCTGCGTTGAGATGGCGAGGCAGCCATTTTGATCGTCCAAGCTGAGCCTTCCCCTCCTCCTCCTCCTTCCTGGCTGGAAGTGTTGAATCAAAGAGGCTGTTGGGCTCCTGTACACATCACACACACACACACACACACACACACACAGAGAGAGAGAGAGAGAGAGAGAGAGAGCACATATTTCAACCATTTCTTCTGCCAGATGACTGGCCCTTGCACATGAGTAAAAGACCTGCTAGTAAAATGTACCAATTGCTCCCAGCGAATGCTTCTGTTATACCGAGATCAAATATCTGGCATGGGAATGTTTTGCAGTATTGTGCCTGTGCCAGCAAAGGTTGTGTAACCCCATCCTGCAGCAGAAAACCAGCTGCCTGATGGACCAAGTGATCCCCCGAGTGGAGTTTGCCCAGCGCTGGATGGGGAAGGGAAGGGAAGCAGCGAGGGAAGGTCGGAATCTGGTGTCAATCTATCTTCTGTCCTGAGTTAGCACTGTGGGCAGGAGAGTCTGCCCAGGCACAGCGAGCCACGCCGAGGGCTTCGTGTAGGTCAGGCGTGGGGAACCGTATCCGGATTCCTAAATCGTCCACCCCAGCCAACTCTGATAGGTGGGCAGGACCACCCACCTGTCAGTCACCTGGTGTCATCATGACATCGGGTGATTGGCACCAGTCAAAGGTCAAAGGAGGTCGCTGTCACCATCGGGGAGCTGATCATCAGTTGCAGCAACGTACTTCGGAGACAGGCTTTCAGAATCGACCAGGTGATTGACATTGGGAGTTTGCCTTCAAGGCAGCTTGATGGGTCGCATTCTGCATCTTGAGCCCATGGGAATGGTGGAATTTTGGGGGCACACAGCCCTTTGCTGTGCTTGGGGAGCGGATAAATGCCAAATGATCTGTGCCTTCTCAGGGTTCCTCCAAATCACCTGTTTATTAGCCCTCATCCTGATTTGCTTGCACAAAGTCAATAGCAGTATTAGTAGGATACTGCCATTCTCCCGTAGATCTCAGGGCAGTTCACAGCATAAAAACACAAGATAAAAACACAAAATGCATAATAAAAGCAAGAACAAGAGCCAAACAAACCAACAACCCCTCTGCCTGCCCCTCACTCAACAACCCCACTCAAAACTAATAACTTTCCACACCCAAAGCTTTTGTGTGTGGAGGTTAGATCATTTCTGGTCTTTATTGATTATTTGTTTTGATGTATTTATGGGTCAGTTATACAACCATGAGCATTCATCCTGATCTGCTTGTGGGGTGTTTTCACATCTACATATTATTCATTCATTCATTCATTCATTCATTCATTCATCACATCACCAGCACCTGGGAGACCAAGGTTCCAATCCCCACTTGGCCACAAAACCTAACCCTGGGCCAATTGCTGCCTCTCAGCCTAACCTCACAGGGTTGCTTTGGGGATTATCAGAGGAAGGGGAGAACCATGCATGCCACCCTGGAGAGACAGTTGAGACCTAAATGCAGTAAATAAATAAATAGTCTCCAGCACCAAAGTGAACCCTACAATCTGGAGACGATCTAAACCAGCCTTTCTCAATCTCGGGTCCTCGTATGTTGTTGGACTACAGTTCCCATCATTCCTAGCCAGCATGGTCAGGGATCAGGGGTGATGGGTGTTGTAGCTCCAGAACATCTGGGGACCCGAGGTTGAGAAAGGCTGGCGTGGCGGGTTGGTCATTCTGGCGCAAAGGCTGAAAAGTGAGTTGAACACAGTGAGCTGCCCTCCAGGACTTCAGGGTGAATCAATTCTCAGTAGAACTTTATGTGACAATGCCATCCCCCTGTGCATTTTCAGCTGACTCCGATAGCCCTGCAGACTGCTGCAGGAATTAACAGCGGACAGATCTAACGCAAGGTCAACTTGGCTTTGATTTTCCTCGGTGTCGTTTTCCTTTGGCTGCAAAATGCTTGCTCCTGAATTTTACGGCAGCCACAAGCAAGCATATTTGGGTGGGGAAGAGAGAGTGGGACTATTGCAATGTGTGTTGCAGGTGGGTGGGTGGAATTAGGAATTAGTCTTAGTCTAGATCAGCAATAGGGATGCGGGTGGCACTGTGGGTTAAACCATAGAGCCTAGGACTTGCCGATCAGAAGGTCGGTGGTTCAAATCCCTGCAACGGGGTGAGCTCCCGTTGCTCAGTCCCTGCTCCTGCCAACCTAGCAGTTCGAAATCATGTCAAAGTGCAAGTAGATAAATAGGTACCGTTCCGGCAGGAAGGTAAACGGCGTTTCTGTGCACTGCTCTGGTTCGCCAGAAGCCGCTTAGTCCTGATGGCCACATGACCCGGAAGCTGTATGCCGGCTCCCTCTGCCAATAGAGCGAGATGAGCGCCGCAACCCCAGTCAGTCACGACTGGACCTAATGGTCAGGGGCCCCTTTACCTTTACCTAGATCAGCAATGGCCAATGGGCACTTTTATAGCCCTACCACATTTGAAGCAGACAGCTCTGACTATCTTTCACTTTTATAAGTCTAGGTCAGTTTTGGTTTACTGAATTTACGTGTCACTGCCCAGAACAAAAGTGCCTGAGTCATTTATACCAGCAATAAAATACAAGAGTAAAAATACAGAAGCATATGAAACGAGTAAAAACGTCCAGTGACTGGTGCTGCCCAAATGTCCAAGGAAACAAAAAGGGTTCCAGAATGATAATAAAATTGTTACCTCCTTGGGGAAAGCATTTTATAGACAGGGAGCTACTACAGAAAAGGTATTCAGATTGGTGATTCTCCCAAAAAACTTGAAGTCTTTCTGCAAGCAATAATTGGGACAGAGGTTCCAAAGAGGTTGACTAATCTTTTTTATCTATGCTACAACCGCAGCCAGATCTTATATGTGCAGAAATGGAAAGAGAAAGAGACTTCAACCCAAGAACAGCTTATCAAATGAATGGATTTCTATTGAAATGGTGAAATTGACTGTAAAACCAAGAGACTGAAATGATGAACTGTTTATGGAAAACGAGAGAGGCCTTTTGGGGGACTATCTGTCAAAATATTTTAGCGACGTGAAATCACGTGCAGGATTTGAGATATGAGCAGAGGGGGGGAATGATGTTAAGATGGAGTTGGGGGGGTTGTAACAAGTATAGAGCAGGATTTAAGGATAGGAATATAAACATCAGCGTGGGAGGGGTGGGAAGTCAAAAAGAAAAATATAAGTGAATAATGTATGTGAAGTAAATTTGTTTTAAAAAAATATTATTTTTAAAAAACATAATAAAATTAATTTTTAAAAGGGAGCTACTACAGAAAAGGTCACATGGTGTGGGCCTGATCTTGTGGGGCACATCTTATGCTCTGATCCGGGAGCCTCCTATGCCCATGAAAGCCTCCACCATACCCAATATCATCATTTTTGAACCCCAAGTTGCAAAATTCTTGCTCTGGGCAAGGGGATGGACTGTCTGCTGAAAGACCAGCTCCCAGGGTCAGGCTGTACACTTTTCCTTTAGTGAGCATTATGCCACACTGGAAAACAGCCAGAGTAAGTAAGACAGAAGCATTCATAGCTAGAACACGTACACATTTCTTTTAAACCCCCCCCCCCCCGCCAAAAAAGGGAGGGTGTGTAAAAGAGTTGAGCCCTGGAGCCACCGGTATTTTATATCCAAAGACAAGATCATACATATAATGCTTAAGCAGTTATTTGTTTGCATGCTCAGTAACAAAAAAACACAGTAGTCATGGTAACGGGGACTGGCTGCCCCTGTTCCTTCCTATCGTTTCCATTAAAATGCTCAGATTCCTCAAATGTCTCCTATAGTGCTACCCCCCCCAGAGCACATTTTTCCGGTCTTCCGTTCAGTTCTCCATGTTTTCACATCACTTTGCCATATATATTTTTAAGACCTCGTGAAAATTCATCAGCATTTTGGTGTGAGCTTCTCTGAATATTCACATTTTTGCAAAGCAATCTTTCCTAATATAATGAATTTTTGGGGGGGGTATGCCATTACATGGATATAGGCATTTTTATGCATGCTTTGCCCTAGTACAGGGGTCTGCAACCTTTAAGACAAAAAGAGCCATTTGGACCCGTTTCTGAAGAAAAAAAAACTGGGAGCCGCAAAACATGTCATTATAAAAAATAACTTTTTTGTCACTTTTTTTATTATTTCTTTGTTTGACCCCTCAGAATTACTCCTCCTCATAGAAATAAACGTTAAATTAACAAGGTACCTTTGTGTGTGTGTGTGTTCTTCACACCCCTTCAAAACAGTGACCAGCGTACACGCCCCCTTTCAATGCAGTGACCAGCGTACATGCCCCTTACAATGTAGCGGGTAGGAAGGTGACGTCGGGACGGTGCGTGACTAATGCACGCACCGCCCCCATGTGACATCACAGCCAGTACAGTGCCCGCTACAGTGGGGAGTGTCGGGGCGCACAATGCGCCTCCTCCCCTCGCTAGTATCCGCCCCGGAGCCACGGCAAAGGTGTAAAAGAGCCACATGCGGCTCCGGAGCCGGGGGTTGCAGA